GCGAAAGGAACGCTCAGAAATCTAGTTTTAAGGTTGAACTGATTTTTCAGTCATGTTAGTAAAGCATGTTTCATGAAGGTTTAATGAGTCAGGCACTAGGTTGTGAAATATGAAGTTGTCTACTGAGTTGTATGAAAATAAAATGTGTTGCGAGTCTCCACCCAGCAGTTACTCTCATGCCTAAACTGATTCCTATTTAACCACCGTTACAACAGTACTGAATGAACTATAAAGACAAATAATGCTGATAGAGTAGGCTGAATTTATTCTGTAACTGTTAAAACTAGCAGCTATTGTTATCTATAGCCCTCTGGGGTCTTTCTGCTGCTCTCAGTATCCAGACCTATGTAACATCCCCAATGCCCACAGCCTCACCATGCTTGAAGGGAGGCAAAGGAATGTGCTCTTCTTTCCAAAGTGTTCTGTATGTGAATCAATATGGCCGCCCTCTCTCTTTCCTGAGACAGCCAGAAACTTCTACGGCTCCCCAACATGCAACACTTTTACTGGGCATTTGGATTAAGAAGTCAACTTATTAAACTAATTTATATTAAAATGAGAACAGATGATGGAGAGAACTCACAATCTGCATCAGAAAACCTACAGTCTGGTAAATGCATACAAGAGAACATCAGAGAGCAACTAGAATACAGGGACAATAGCTTTGTGCAACAAATAACCCAAATGTAATTTTAACTGAAAATATTCAACATAAAACAATATATGTAAGACTATATTTATAGGCTTTCTTTTAATTCTAAAATTAATATTGGTAATATTTAAATGTTGTTAAAGTGTTCTATTATTATAGAGATTATGATGGTTTTGTCTATATGACATAGGAATTGTTGTTAGGAAAAATAAAATGAAGAAATCACATTAAAATCATTTTGAGTTGTTCCCTAAGTGTGCATGAATACATAAATATGGAAAAAATCCAGGAGATGACTCTGGCAGACAGAGGTGTTCCACTCAGGTGTCATTTTAGGAGAACCCACCACATAGAACACAGTTGACCCTAGCCTTTGCCTGCAGTCCTGTATGGGGTGGCCACGCCCCCCAGGGTAGCGCAGAGCTTTCTGACCAGCACAGGATTTCTCCAACTGGCAGCTGTGGCTCGAGCACCCCATCACCACGGCCTTGGTGTTCTCGGAGCTGGGCAGCAGTCTTTCTTCCTGTAAGGCTTTCCTCCTCTTTCTTTGTACACAGATATGGGAACCCAGTATCTGTGAACTCAGCCTGTTTCTGTGCTGTCCCCCTCACCCTTCATAGGTACTTCTCCAGTATCTTATTTTTTTTTCTTCAAGTCTGATCCTTTAACTGCATTATGACTTCTGCTTTTAGGGAACCGAGGAGATAAAGGTTGCTGAAATTGAGTCACAGACTCTTCTGTATTTGGAATGTCCCTCCCTTTGGATCTGCAGGAAACGTCCATCTGCAATGACTTCCTTTCCTAGGGATCACTTTCTCTCTTCACTTTCATCAAATTGATCACCTGTGCGCACCCCAGGCTCTCCAAACATGCACAGCCTGACCTGACTGACAGATAGATCCTGCCCTCCAGTCAAGGGAGGGTCATGGGCATCCCAGTCCACAGTAGCATCCACTGACCCTGTCCGGATGCCCCACCACAGGAAGAACAAAACAATTCTCCATTTATGGGGCCCTCACCTCTGTGGTGAGGCCCCAAACCTCCCATGTAACTTGAAAGAGCTGCTGAATAATAAAATGGTCTTCCTCTGTAACAGCCTCAGAAAACCAAGGCAGTAAAGATCCTCAGCTGGGATGAAGAAAAACTAACGTGATTTTCAGGAAAGATCAGGAGAAGAAACAGCAGAAACATGAAGAGGAGAGGAGCACTGGGGCTAGAAGCGGTCATGCTGAAATTCGAATCTGAGACGGAGGCAGGAAAGCAGAAGTAAATGCCCTTGGAGTGCTGGGAACAATGAGGTAAACGTTTGAGAGAGAGTTTGGGCCTAATGCTGGTGTGGCAAAGACAGTATCTGCCCCAGAAGTCCACATTCTATCCCTGAAACCTGGGAACCTGTAACCTGGCACGGCAAGAGGGACACTGCAAATGGAATTAAAATAAGGAGGTTGAGATGGGAAGATTGTCTTGGACTTCATTGGAAGGTCAAATGTGATACTAAGGGTCCTTAAAGAGAAAGGCAGGGTATTTAAGGCCAAAGAAAAAAAGGATATACAGAAAGAAGTAGGCAAGGGAGTCAGAGAGGCATCTCAAGTGTTGTGACCTGGGATTGAAGACAATGGGAAAAGCCATGAGTGAAAAACTGAAAGTGGCCTATGGAGGCCAGAAAAGACCAGGGTCTAAATCTCCAAAAGGAGAGTGGCCCTGCCACCTCCGGACACCTCGATGTTAGTGCCATTCACCCCTGTTGGACCTCTGTTCTCCAAAACTGTAACACAATAAATGTGAGTTTTTATAAGTGACTAAGTTTACAGTAATTGGTTACAGTAATGACAGGAAACTAACATAAATGATACCAGCTAATAACAATTGAGAATTTATAATGTGCGACATACCACGCTAAATGCTCTAGATAAAAGTTACAAAGGAAAACAAATGAGCAGAGACAAAAAACTGGAGAAAGCCTGTATTGGGAAAGCCCAACCCAGAAGCAGGCAAGATCAATGTAATGCAGGGAGGGAGTATCGGAGTATTTAAAAAGAGGCAGATAGATCTCAAACTACAGCAGCTCAAACCAAATGAATTAGTGATTATTTTTTTACAGAACTTCAGACCCTTAAAGACTCATGGAAGAGAATCAAATCTGCATTTAATATGGTTTTGTGTCATGAGAGGTCTGCAGAAATTTGTAGCACCTACTTTTGTTTATAGACTTTCTCTTTGAGATGGAATGAAACATAACTTTTATGTCTTAGATCTGCACTAACTTTTCATTTATTGCCTGCATGGCAATGTTAAAATATATAGGGCCTCACTCTAAAAGCAGGTGAGAACTGTGTGATTTATTGCATTCTGAATAAAGTAAAAAGTATCTGTTATAATACTATCAGAGTTTACTTATCATAAAAATCTGCATTTGCAATAAATGTTAATTGTATACTGCAATGGAAAATATATATCACTTCAGCATTCTTTGGAGGTTTTTCAGGATCATTTTATGTACTATGATAAATAAAAAGCTGTAATAAAAATGGTAATTTTATATACTCAAATGAGCTAGACTTTACAGAACCTTTCACAACCTCTTGAGTAAATCGTAAGCACATTATGCCAAAACAACATGGCCAGTGGGCTCTCTATTAACAATGCTATGTGAATATTAGGAATATGAAATATTTTTTATTAGCTAAGAGGATTTACTGATCAAAGTCATAAATTAGGAAAATGAAGTACTGACAATCTACTTTGTAAAAGTAATATGTGATGAATGATTTCAGTTCTCTGGCCACACTCCTACCCAGGTCACTCAAATATAAAACCAGTCAGTTTAACATGAAATATGTCACTCTAGTGTTTACCTGCAGAAATATTAATACACATGCTGCTGGCACTTAAGGGTTTATTTCTAGTTCCATTACAAAATTCCATTATGAGGGAGATTTAATCCTTTGCCCAGGCATTTTCTAGAAGAAATTCTGTCAAACAAAATTGCAGTTTGGCAAAATTGTAAAAGTCACTTGGGCCATCTTCTGTGGTGCCAACTGGGAAGTCTGACCTACTTTAAAACAAGACATGTTTAAAAGTGTGTACAAGTCTGCCTGATGTCAAGATTCTTGTCACTCACATAGCTGGGAAGAGAATTCTGCTCCAGTGCTTACAGATGACACTTCCTGGGCAGAAGGTCTATTGCAGTACATATTCAACAAGCTAAAACACCATGATGGAAAATGGGAGATGACTGAAGGTTTGAAGGACAAATGGCCAGTGGTCAGGAAGACGTCTATACTGAAGGGTGAAATGTAGCTGGCCTGCTAACATGCCAGGGGGTCCTTTCAAAACCTGTTTCATAAATGGTTACTTTGGAGGCAAGATGACCATAGAGAATGGGTTGCTAGTTCAGACTATAAACATCTACCAAATCCATTCTGATCTGGACTGCCTCAAAGTCAGACTTGTGTGGGTGCTAAGATAAAGAGAACCATGAAAGGAACCGGATTTCCTTTCTTCCTTCTTCCTCACGGCTGGTGTGCACTGGTATGGCCAGGGGTCAAGACTAAACTCTTGCCTCCTTTGTAAACAAAGCATTTTGAAGCAAACTCACATGTGTTCAGTCACTCTGGTCTGCCTGTGGCTCCTTGCATGCTGTGACTGCAGAATTGAGCAGCTGTGGCGCGGACGACATGGTGGGTAAAGCTTTCAATATTTATCTGACCTTTCAAGAACTTTTCTGACCCCACTCCAGGTCAGTGTTATCTAAAGACCAAGTTAAGAGCCTGGCAATGTCCTTGCTATCCTCCGTTACCATACCAGCTCTTTTTGTTGGTGATCATGTTGTCCTGACTCCCTCAGGGAGCTCCTGCGGGTCCCCTGACATGGGAGTACTCCACAACTCCAGTCTCTGTCTCTTGTTTTAGTGACAGCCTTACTGAGCACATGTGGGCCATTCCACAGGGTCACAGACCCATCCAGTAGAGGATGCAGTATTCTGACACACTCTGTTACCACCATTTTTAGTCCCACCCTGTCTTTTAGGATTGTAGTGTTTTCTGTGGGTGCCAGCCTCATCCATCCTCCTCTGACTCTTCAAGGCACCGCCATCCCTTGTCTTTCTTTCAAATGCTTCCTGCAGGAGGCTTTGCTCTTAACAAGTGACTCCATCGCTTTCCTGGTCCCATAAGGATCTAGCAGCATCTTTGGGATGATCAAGTGAAGCTCTTTCCTCCATATTTGTTAGTGTGGAATCACAGAGAGCACATCTATAACCATTTTATGTATTTGTGTGCATACATGAATTCTTTTTCTCATAAAGGATTTATTTATTTTAAATTAACTTTCCTTTTCTAATCACCAGGTCAAGTTATATGGGTAGGATTGAGCCTGCCCTTCCCTCTTTCTCCAAGGAGATCTCAAGATGAGGTGTTGGAAGTTTGGGCCATACTCAGTGACTCTCAAAGCATGATGTTCAACAACGGCTTGAAATAAATGAGGAAGACAAGCAAAACCACTGCAAGGCATTTCGTTCCTTCCACAAGCTGCCAAAGAAATACAGCAATTGCCAAAGAAGAGACTTTAATTGTTCATAGAGAAAAATGAGAGCTGACCAGATCGACACAGAGTTACTGTGATGCTTTATGAAGACCTGGCAATTCCCTCAGGTCACAGACCCAGCAATTACTGTAATCCCCAGCCTATACATAGATGGACTTTGTGTAGAGGGAGGGGACTTCTGAAGAGAACCCCAAATGATAATAGTGGCATTTAACATAGAACACACTTTGTATTTTTTTCTATGCTTCCTCACCTTTGTTATAAAAATGCACCTTTTCCAAAGAATTCAGATTCAGTGAAAAATGGGTTAAAGCAATCTGAGAGGAGCTCCGAACCAACACAATGCAGGAGACTAGACATTTTGTTGCCAATAGCTGCCTGAACACTCAAATGAAGCATTCTGCGGTGGCACATGGTGCACCTGGCATGCACCATCTGACATGCATGTTGGTATGCACATCTCACATATTCACTAGAGCGCTGTATGGCTGGCACCTATACTTTCTTCTGTACTTATAGTGAACAATGGATGACTTTTTATAACTTCAGTGACAGTACATAACATTTTCATTTTAAGTAGAGTCCAGGAGAAAGTAAAGAATCTTACAGCTCATGGGAGTGCTAATTGGAGCCAATTATAATTTGATTGACCCGCCTTGCTATTAAAATGATATGCAAAATTTACACTGCCCTTGCAAAATGGAAATTTTCTTCAGAACAAGCTAACGAGAGGAAGCCCACCCTTTAATGAATCCAGAGGTGGTACTTTTGGGCTATAATTCCCACATCAACCCTCACAAGCTAATTCTGGAGAGGGGCTGTAGAGGGCTGCAAATGATACAAAAGAACCCTGTAGATGGGGAAAATGTGCAATAAAATAACTGAAGTAATTAAGGACTAGGGAATAAAGGAACAGCATCACAATAACTGTCCATTCCTCATTAGGTCTCATTTTCTTTTATGAAAATTTAAACTCTTTTTAAGAAATGTCATGGGGCTGAACTGTTCTCTTGCTGTGTGGCTGATTTTTTAGAGGCAGAATAAAATGTCCATTTTCAGCGGTAAATAGAAATGAGGTCATTAGCAGAAGATGAAGTCACCCTGCCACATTGTCTTCTTACCAGGGATAATAAATGACCCCTTAGGACATTGGAGAAATTTATGCTTTATTCCTGTCTTGCTTACACCCATGTATACACCCACATGGAGCACTGGCCCTCGGTATCAGTTGCACATCAAACCTTTCATCAAAGCAAATTCAGCACCATTTTAAAAGGAAGCTCCATCTTTCTGATCTAAATTTTCCAAATGACTAGATAAATAAAAGGTGATGGTTTCATTGTCAATTACACTATGGAAACAGTGCAAAAGCACCTGACTTTTAAGAAATAGTGGCTATTTAATATTTGATTAGAAAAGGGCAAGCAATTAAGCCTGAATATCTGAAATAAACATGGGAATGAGGAAAAGTGATACCCAAATAAATCAATAATAAAAAGTAATTCCTGTGTGTCCTCCTACTTAGGAGGGCTCTGTCAATGCTAATTTCTTTGGACTCAAAGGATAGGCTGGAGATTTCACACAGCATCAAGTTCAAGTCAGATACAGAAGGCACTTAACAGGCTCTGAGGAAAGTGGTAGAAAACAGAGTTGAAAAATCAGCATTTGTGCTACCTCAAGGTCTCTGCTTCTTATGCAAAGTAATAAATATGTACTCTTACACACACATTGGTTCGCTGCCCCCACAGTTTCTAGGCCTCCACTGTCTCCGCTATGCAGAGATATAAGGAAAGATCTATATCTATCTCACCATTGCACTGTAGAAATTCCTTGCAAAGTCTGGGAAACAAATGACAGCAGCACTTTCTGCAGTTTTAATAATTCAGCCCTAAGAAAAGGCTGTTGGTGTTAAACAGGATATGTGTGCATGTGTGTGACCACTCAATTTCAAATTTCTCAGAAATGTCTTATTTGTGTTGTGTTTGAACCTTATGGGAACTTTTCAGCTCTTTAATTTTAATTGACAATAACTATATATTTTTAAATGAGATATGACATGATTTTCCATAGAGGTATATAATGTGAAATGGTTAAATCAAGCTGATTACCGTATCTATTAGATCACTATCATACTTATCATAATTTATAAGTATCATAGTTATCATTAGTAAAAGTACCATATACTAAATATTTCATGGTGAGAACATTTAAAATCTACTCTTTGGGCAACTCTGAATTGTAAGATACCTTATTTTTAACAATGCAATAGATCTCAAAATCATAATCCTCTGTCTAATGGAATGAAACTTCTCTCCCTTCGACCAATCTGCCCATTCCCCTGTTTCACACGTGGTAACCCACCATTCTACTCTCTGCTCCTATAATTTCTATTTTTTAGATTCTACATATTACTGAGATCATGTAGACTTTGTCTGTCTGTGCATGGCTTATTTCACTTAGCATAAGGTCCTCCAGTTCCGAACATTCAGTTGCAAATGACAGAATTCACTTCTTCTTAAAGACGGAATGTTATTCCTTTGTGTATACATACCACATTTTCTGGTCCCTCTACCAGTTGAAGGGTGGATTCCATATCCTGGTCCTTGTGAAAGATGCTGCCATGGACATGGGAAGGTACCTCTGTCTCCAGAAATGGTCTCATTCTCATCTTTGATTGCAACTATTTACCACACTGACCAACCAGCATATCGATCAAATCTTCATACTGCTATTACTTTACATTAGATGCCTTTTTATTAATCTCTCCCTCTTTATTATACACCATAATCAATGTAAAGAATATTTTCTGGACAAGGAAAGATTCATGACTAAAGGAATGAATCTTTGTAGCATACTCACAATTTCTATTTTCTTTTTGGGAAAAAAAGAAAAATGAAAGAAATTAATTCAATTAGTAAATACAAATGTTGCTATAGTTCAGGGACAACTGTAAATAGAACCATCATACTTAATTAAATATTTGGATTGGTTTAAAAGAGTATTCTCCTTTATAACCACTGAGAGCTACTTTATAACAATTGAGAGTAACCCAGTCTCCCTTCCACTATTTGCATTGATCAGGAACAAGGAACAGTTAGATGAAACTTAGCTAGAAAATAATATGTTTCTTTTATTCTATCCACACCTTTTACTTATGAGCCTCTTGAAAATGATGGCTGTTTATATCACATGAGATTCTTTAATGTTTTTCTGATCTAAAATTGATTTCTACTAGTAGTTGTCTACTCTTGAAGTTAAAAGGGCTTTCCTTATCTCTTATTTATCAAAATTCCCCCTTATAGTTTACTAATATGTCATTTTCAGTAACAGACCAATATGCTGTGTTAGCCAATAAAGGCATATAAGTAAGAATGGGTGGCATTTGGAGGTGGGCTGTGACCAGGCAACATTGTAACTACATGGTTCTGTATAAGGCAACATTGTAACCATGGGATTCTCTAATGCTGGGTCCTGCATTGCACAAATCTCAGGCGACTGTTTCTGGCTAATGGATTAGTGACCTTTCTACTCAATTCTCAAGGAGAAAACTATTCTGATTCATGCTCTAATGCAAAAAAAAAAAAAAAGAAAATATAATGCTTCAGTATGATTTGCAAACTGTAGAGCAAGTATCCATTGAGGTAGGTAGAGTTTAAAAAAGAAAGAAAGAAAGAAAAAGAAAAGAATTCAACTTAAAATAGGCAGCTGAGCTCATTTTGTCCCAGGCAAAAAGGTTTCAAAATTCATGCCATAACTCTCAATTGTTAAAAAGGGAATGGCCTTTTAAAGTGACCCGAATATTTAATATAATCTAAGTATTGTGGTTCCATTTACAGTTGACCCTAAATTGAAGTAGTTTATATTTAGTAATTCAATTAATTCCTGTCATTTGCATTCCCCCCCAAAAGAAACAACTTAAAATAGAATGTAAAAACACCTGTGCTTTTCTTTAAAAATTTTTTTGTCGACTCCAAATATATTTACCTGAAACAATACCAAGAAAGAAAAAAAAAAAAGAACAAAGTAAAGAAAATCAATGTAACCACCTGCTCCTTCTTTCAGACATTTCTCTATAAGGCAATTCTAATAAAGGAAGCAGGCCCATTTGTGAAAAGAAAAACCATCATGCAAGTAATTTTCAACCAACAAGATGCAATGTTTTTCTATCAAGAAAAAAAAAAATAAGTAGACCTGCAGTTGAAGAGCAAAGGGCTCCACCTTGATCAAAGGCAAGAATCAGTTACCTAGGAATTCTGAACTCTTTGACATAAATGTTCACTGTTCCTCTTCCCCATGGAGGAATAGTAAACTTCATTCTATCAACTACTAATTCAATCGTGCACCTTCAATATATTTTCCCTAATGATACTGTTTTTCTCTTTTCCATAAATTCATAAGAAATAAATTGTTCTGCTGATTTCCCTTGTTTCCTTTCATTGTTTTCTTTAATATGATGTCAGGTGATATAAATATCTCTATTTTTTTTTTTTTTTTGCCAATTACAGTCAGGCAGTCTCTGGTCTACAGCATGTGACAGCATTGCCTCTATTTTAGTTGCACTGTCAAACTCAAATCCTCTGCTACAAAGAGTTTTCCCATCTTCTAGAGATCCTGTTGTTTAGGACCCTGAGAATTTTAACTGCCACACTGGTTTTGTATTGTATTTTATTTTAACAACATATCTTCTGGGCAATTTATGAGCAAGTTAATTTCTTTCACCTCTTTATTTTATTAATTCAATTAGCTGACCCTCATCTGGCAGGCAATGAACTTCATAACTTCACCTTGAGTGTGTTAAATATTTAGACTACAATGTTTCTCATCTAGTGACCTCATAGCTATGTATCGTTTCTAATGCTCATTGACACACGTCTTGCTTGGGCTTTGCTAACAATAATAAATGTATTGTTTCTCTTCAGAGAAATATTTTCAAACTTAAATTAATGAAACTATTCTTGCACCAATTTGTTCTTCAGAGGAACTATGCACAAAGGTAATGGGAATAGTCTCAGCAACAAGGATTTGGTCATCAACCCGAGGTGGCCAGATACCATGAATGGAGGCAGGGAGAAAGAACAGGAGATGTCCCTCCAAGTCTCCTTTGGGCTCCTGTAAGACATAAAAGGAAGTGCTCCACAACTTAACCAGGAAAACCAGCAAAGATAATGCCAGGTAAGAGAAATCCAGAGGGTACAAATATTGTGAGAAAGAGAGAGAGGATTGGAAGAGCTAGTCCTGGGGGCCAACATGCATGGTGTGCATTCACTGGGGACTGTGGAACTGCGAAATGACTGGAAATCCAGTGTATGGAGGATCCATATACAAGCTGTCGCTGATGGAGAGATGGAACACTCATATGTCCTATAAGATACACTGAGCACTTGCCATTTAAAATGTGTGAATTGTACTACAAATAGCAAAACCATGCCATCAATTAAAAGGTACTAAATCCAGCATATCTTTTGTAAACCATATATGTTCTCTCTGAAAAAATACAAAACATCCATGGCTAGGGGTTTAGCTCAGTGGGAGAACATTTGCTTAATATGTCGGAGTCATTCCACTGTATGAATTACTCAGCTTGATCCCCAGTCAATCAATAGCAACAATAAAAAAATTTAAAAAGAAAAATAACTAGCATTGAGTACCAATTGTGATCCAGATGATAAAATTCTTAATTTATACATATTAACTTCTTATTACTCACCAAAGTGCGTGTATTATCACCCCACTTCACAAATGAGGTAACTAATATAATGGTGGATGGCCATGCAACATAGTAGAGGATTTAAACCTAGGAAGCCTAGGTCAGACCATGAACTCCGCACAGAGCTGATTTCTCCACATAGTCACACATTCATGTGAACAATAATAAAATTTTGACACTTCAAATGAATTCATCAATTCAGAAAGGTTGGTGACAACTGGTGTTTAAGATCTTCTATATCTATTCCTTCAAAGAGTCAATCTCCTTTATTATTTTTTATTTATTGGTTCTTTTTAGTTATACATGCCAGCAGAATCCACTTTGATATAATTCTACAAGCATGGAACCTTTCTTATTCTAGTTAGAGTCCCATTCTTATGGATGTACATGATGGTGGGATTCCCTGTGTTGTTTTCATGTATGTACATGGGAAAACTATGTCGGAGTCATTCCACTGTCTTTCCTTTGCCTATTTCCTTCCCCCTTCCTTCCCTCCATTCCCCATTGTCTAATCCACGACACTTCTATTCTTCCCCCTGCTTATTTTGGGTTAGCTTCCACATGTTAGTCTCCTTTAAATGTATTACTTCTTATAAAATAGTCTAGAGTCATGGTAAAAGTACAGCTATTGGTCATATAAAAACTAAAATTAAAAACAATCATAAAAATCACGACTAGAATCTAACTTTGGTTCTGGGACCTGCTAGGTGGGCAGGTCAGGGCAAGTGTCTCTTCCACTTTATGCTCCAGTTTCCTTGTTTGCAAAGTCAAGATAATAGTAAAAATACCTGTCAGACTGGCTTACTGTATGGATTAAATAATACATTATGATTGTCTCTCAAGATCTTCAGGGACTGTTTCCAGGATCCCTGCAGATACCAAAATGAGCAAATGCTGAAGACCCTTATGTAAAAGGGTGTGGCATTTGCATATAACCTTTGCATACTCTATTCTATCCCTTAAATGAAATCATCTATATTTATGATATCTAGTATAATGTAAATGTCTTCTAAATAATTGCAATAATATATGGGTACTCCATGCCTAAGATGGGGTTATGTCACTATAAAAAACCAACAACTAGAAATATCATAGGTCAAAATTCTGATAACCTCCTGGACATTAGCAACAGGGTACAAGGTCAAGTCTTGGTAGTTTACTCTCGTGATTGAGTTGCTGACTGAGAGCTACACCTGGCTGCCACTGCCCAGCACTGAGAGAGGATTGTACTACATAGGTGCATTCACTCATCCAAGGTAATAGCAAAATTCAAAATTTGAAGTACAGTTTCTTCGGAGGGCATATGGCTCAAAAAACTGTATGTGAAACTATCCATCAGTGCATCAGAGACCGTCTGCATTGTTTAGGGGATAATAACAAAAACACCTGCAATGTTCAGTACAGACATTTTTTCAGGAATGTATCTGATCCATAGTCAGTTGACTCTTGCAGAAGTAGAACTCTGGGGTGCAGAGGGCTGCCTTTCCCTGCAGTGTCCATTCAGACACACTTAAGAAAAATGGTGTTAAACAGATGTTCCAGGGTTATGGCTTTGCTTGCGTGTCTGTCCTGTTTAACTTCCTCAACCAGAATCCTAAGAGGAAGTCAAGCATTCCACCTGCAGATGTCGTGGGAGAAGCAGGGAGGCAGGGTGGAATAACACACAAGGGCATTAACCAACCCTCCCAATCCCACCAGAGCAGATCCTGCAGGAAAGAGGGCAGGCAACCACCAGGGACCTCAGGATGCCGGCATCAAGGTGGCTTTCTGTGCTCTGTTGGCAGTGAGATGCTCCACAATGATGAGGTGTGGAGGCTCCTGACTCTCAAGACCAAGCAGGGCGAGGCATGGAGTGTTGTTTTCTAACAGTATTTTGGTTTCACTCAGATAAACACTATTGGATGCATAACAATGATTATATGTAAAATAGCTGAAGGTGGCTATGGTCAGAATAGACTTTCATCAAAACAACTAACCAAACAGCTATGCACAGATAGGTCAAAATAAAAGAATTGTGCAAGGGGGGGAAAACAGAAATAAAATTTTTCTTCTCAGGAGAATAGAAGCCAAGATTTTTTTCTGGAAAAAAAATCTTCTCTACCTTGAATAGAAAGTGAAAAGGGCTGAACTTTGAAATTGAGAGATATTAAAAATGCAGGGATGACAAAACACAGCATCCTTTCTGCTAAATTAGAGTGACAGTGTGGTGCGCGTAGCACAGGCAGGGTTCACAGTACAGGTGGCAGAGCGTGAGCAGGGAGTGGGTCTGCCTCTCTGCAAGGTGGCGGACCCGGCAGCGATCGGGATTCTATTTTGAACTCGCTTTTGGAAAGATTTCCAAATGGGAGCAATCATTTCTAAATGTCAGTTGACTGTCTCTAATCTTAAATCCTGGAAGCACCTCGTCACACCCCTGAGAGGACAGGGGGCACTGGCTTTGCCTCTGAAATCAGAACAGCTGCTCATTAAATGCTCATCCTTGAACTCTTTGTTTTTTGGTGGGATTCAGATATTCAGTGAGAATGAGAAAAAGGTCCCCGTTCCACTTAACTTCTGAACCTTGAAGATGACACATGGCACGAGGAAGGATAAGAGACTTAATTTGTATTTAACATTCTGGCATCATACGTATAAAATGGGACCCTGATAATTAGAAATGTCCTTTGCTTTACTTTGTTTGATGAACTCTCAGCCTGGGGTTAATGGGAGATGTGGAAAGGTGGGTGTTGGGTCCCTGGGAGTCCCATGGCTAACGGCAGAGGCTGGATGGTCTAATGGGGCCTCTCTGTAGAACCCCAGAGCCCATAGCAGTGCCAGGAGGACTTCTGAAAAAGTCACTCAGACAAAATCACCTGACTCCTTCTCAAAAGGTGGGTGACTAACAGGCAGTGAAAAGAATTCAAAGTTAACCCTGATACATTTCAAAGGGACATTAATTTAAATAAGTGTCTTCATTGTAAATGCTGAGAACCTAATACGTTAGATGCTTTGGGGGTACATAAAACATCCTCAAATATTAATTAAAAAATTCTTATGATACCAATTGAGAGGTTGTCAAATCATTTATTTTAGAATCCAACTATTTTAAAATATGAGTCTAAAACTAGCTATAAAGCAAATTACAGCATATGAATACTCAAAGACATTTATGACTGCTCAATATGAAAAAATCACCCTAAGGTATAGATAAAATAGTTCTGGGAAATGAGTAATGTTTTTATTGAAGAAGAAGAAGAAGAAGAAGAAGAAGAAGAAGAAGAAGAAGAAGAAGGAGAAGAAGGAGAAGAAGGAGAAGAAGGAGAAGAAGGAGAAGAAGGAGAAGAAGGAGAAGAAGGAGAAGAAGGAGAAGAAGGAGAAGGAGGAGAAGGAGGAGGAGGAGGAGGAGGAGGAGGAGGAGGAGGAGGAGGAGGAGGAGGAGGAGGAGGAGGAGGAGAAAACCCTCCCTAGCAGTTAAAACATAAAATGAACTCTGGCAATTACATTTATTTTTAATAAGGTTTCCGGATAGGTGAGATTCCAAGGGTCAGCTAAGAAAGAGTCTTTGAACACACTATCTGTCCTTTCTTTGTCTGGAGAGCATCCCACAAAATTGCCATCAGGTACTCAGACAAGCGAAAATTGACTGGCCCTTTACAATCTCAGCAAAGAAAGTGCTGGTGGTCCACATGGTGGGTTGTCCTGGATACAGTCAGAGAACTCAGATTTGATAAGGGCTCAGCCAGCCAGCTCACTGGACTTTCCTTTTTTCATCTCTATGTTAGTTACCACATTTTACTTTAATTATTGAAGCGAATTCCTGCTGTTTTGTGTATGAGAGATCAATATGTGTACTCTTGGCATTTGTCCGACAAGACTGATTAATTTTTCAGTTTGGATGCACACTGTCAACATGCAGCTTCAACTGACTTTGTGTGCAAATTACTGATGGGAGAAATGGAGGCTAATATTTTAAATAAAATTTTAATTATTAGAAATGACTCACTTATCTCTCAAATACTATAGATTTTGGTAGACATTTATAGACAGCTTTATGAAACTGCTTCTGCATTTGTCAAAAGACTAAATCAAATTAAATCTCGCTGATAGCATCAGTAAATTTAACAAGTTGGATTAATTTTGGAAGCTATTTTAACACAGGGATCAATAACCAGGAGGTTTTTCTGCTTCCATGAAAGAAATCAGGTGTTCCTGCTTTCTCCTGGCTAGGTCATGCCAGATTCTTATAAAGACCT